TAGATCTCTTGGCTCCAGCTCCAGCTCTCGGGATAGCATATTCACCAAGCGTGCGCTTGAATGTGTCTTGGCGCGCAATCCTGCCCCGTTGCAGGATTTCTCCGCCCATCGCGACTTTTCCGGAGGGAATATAGCTTTTTTGACCCGAGTGGCAGAATGGAAGAGCTCGCTGCCCCATGCGGTCTGGGATAGCAGGATTTCAGACTATGGAGATCTTACCGATTTGATTCGGGGGCAGTTTCACCGCGCGCTGTGTATTTACACGACCTTCATCAGTGATCGCCATGCGCAGTTACCGATCAACATCTCTTCGCAGGAACGGAAGGAGCTGGAGAACGTCTTTGAGGGCCCTGCTGGGCTTCTCTTCGGAGACGGGCGCCCGGCCAATCCCGCCGTTCCGTTCGATTCGCCAGGCTATGGCCCCACGCCCTCAGCGTGTCCGATCGCCTCCATCAAGGCCGAGTCCGGTTCGCTATTCGCCGACAATGGCCAGGTGAAATACTGGGGCGAGGTTCCCCAAACATTCAATGCGACGGTCTTTGACCGAGCCGAGGAGAGCATCAAGGATCTCGTCCTCACCAACACGTGGCCGAAGTTTGTTCGAAGCCGCGGGATCGCAGCTGAGGTTGATTTGCTGACGGGGAGCGAGAGTCCTGCGTAGCTGGTTCCGGAATGAGGTCGCCAGCGATGGGAGATTGGACTGCATGGCATCTGTCTGGGATGTTGATAAAATACCATAGATAAATATGTTGGAGCAACTCATCGAATCACATATTCTATCGGAACGTAGCACTGCCTTGGTACTATAGAGTCGAGCAGTAGGTCGAAGACCATCTGACCAGACGCCCAGCCATACGGTATGGACAATATCCCCCAGCGGGCAAATGATTGACCGACCTTTGTCTCACCATCATGTTAATCATACAACATGGTCATGGAAATACCATCGCACGGGTGTGCAACGCTACGTGATTGACCTACGTGCTCCATTTCTTGTCGGTCAGGTACGAAACCATCCGGCGAAAGTTGGGAACTCTGGTGGGCGACATCGATGGTTCCTAAAACCCAAGAGCCGTTATCTAGGCCATGGCACCCCGTTCTTGGTTCGTGGCTTCCCTATATATTTTGAGGGGAAGAG